CAAAATTTTAGGTCATTCGGACGAGGTTTGATAGACTTTTTGATCGAAAGCGTATTTTGAGAATTTTGGAGTTCTTAGGCTTGAATCCATGGTTAATTCGAGGTTTCGATGTTGTTTTAGGTGTTTTAAGGATTGGTAGAAGTTTGGGCAGTGATATTAGACTTGTTCGTGCATTTGGTTGAGGTCCCGAGGGTCTCGGGATGATTTCGGATGGTTGACGAAAGAATTTGGAGTTTGGAGTTGCAGCTAAAGCTACAGCTGCTGTCATAACCGCATCTGCGACCACCGCAGATGTGGAAACTAGCCGTAGAAACGGCAGATGAGGAAGGGGCCAGGAACCGCAGAAGTGGGCTAAGTATCGCACCTGCGTGACCGCAGATACGGATTCTGGGTCGCATGTGCGGCGGGGAGGTTTTAAGTGAGAACCGCAGAAGTGGTTCCCCAACCGCAGAAGCAGTATCGCGGATGCGATTTTTGGATCGCAGATGCGGGATTGCTGGGCAGAACATATAAATAGTTGCCTTTGCGATTTTGAGCTATTCTTTCACCATTTTCATCCGAGAAGTGAGCTTTTGGGGAGATTTTTGAGAGGGGATTCAAGAGAACTTAGAGGAGGTAAGATTCTTGGAACCTAAACTCGTTATTATAGTGATTTTTATCATCCTAAGCATGAAAAATTAAGGAAAATCAGTGGTAATTTATGGGTTAGGGCTTGGCTAATTAGAGGCCTCGAGTGATGATTTGAGGGACCAATTGAGGTCCGATTTTGGTACTTTTGGTATGAATGAACTTGTGAGAGTGTGAGGATTCTGGAAATGTAAATTTTACCCGATTCCGAGATGTGGGTCCGAGGGGCGTTTTGGTCATTTCACCTAATTTCGCGCATTAGCTTAGAATTTATTTGTAGAATTAGCTACTTGAAGTATTATTTACATTATGCAATTGAATTGAATAGATTTGGGCCATTTGGAGTCGAATACTCGTGGAAAGAATGTGGTTTCGGGTTGATTATTGAGTCAGTTCGAGGTAAGTGGCTTGTCTAACCTTGTGTGGGGGACATTCCCCTTAGGATTGATATTGTGATAATTGAAATGCCTTGTACGTGAGGTGACGAGTGTGTACTTGTGCTAATTGTTGAAAATCCTGTTTTTCATTAAAGCCTTGGAATTTGAGCCTACTGCTAGCCTAGAGAAGCATGTCTAATTGAATAAATTGCTCTATTTGCTTTAACTGTCTTAATTGTATTATGTGAAGCATGCTAGGTTAGAATTGTTTGTTTTACTTTGGTATGAAGTTGAGCTTAATTGAGTATTCCTTTTGCTGTTATTGTGCGTTTTACTTTGGGACTACGGGAAGACATTCCGGGAGATCCCCTGTACGTATTTATGATTGAGCTGAGGTGCGGGATACCGGGAGATCCCTGGCACGTATATTGAGGATGCCAAGAGATCCTCAGGATACCAAGAGATCCCTAGCATATATTGAGGATACCAAGAGATCCTCGGGATACCAAGAGATCCCTGGTATAGATATTGAGGATACTAAGAGATCCTCGGGATACCGAGAGATCCCCGGTTATTATCCTTGCGATTGCTTTTGCCTCTGTGTCAGTTGTAGTTATCTTTATATCCTGTGATACTTTTGCTGCTGCTCTTATTTATACTGTTCTGTTCTACACTGTCGAACTTTTTATCTTATTTAACCTCAGTAGGGCCCTGACCTTCCGCGTCTCTACCCGACCGAGGTTAGGCTTGGCACTTACTGAGTACCGCTATGGTGTACTCATGCCCTTCCTGCGCATGTTTTTCATGTGCAGATCCAGGTACCTCTACTCAGACTTACCATCCTTGAGGCGAGGCGATCTTTCGGAGATTTCGAGGTATATCTGCCGCGTCCGCAGACCGAAGAGTCTCTCTCCATTCTCTTGTGTAGTTACAGTCCTTCTGTATTTACTTTGTTTTAGACATTCTGGAGTTAGAGCACTATGTAGTATTCTTAGCTTGTGATTCATGGGTTTCCGGGTTTTGGGAGAGTTGTACTGGTTTGAGAGTAATATTGTGTATGTCGAGCGGCACTTTTACACGCTATTTCATTACACTATTTCTGTCTTACTTGTTTTCCTCCGCAAATTAGTTTATTTTCCGCATTTTAGGCTTACCTAGTCGTAGGGACTAGGTGCCGTCACTATGGTTCACGGAGGGCGAACCGGTGTCGTGACAGTAACACAAATTATTAGGCTCGTGCTAGCACAGGCCAACGGCATCTAGTATGGTTAATAACTAGGTTGTTTTAACATTTTTGGTACTAATCTACGGCTTGAAAAGAAGGTGTGGACCACGTACCTACAACTGTAGGCTGTAGCTTTGAACATTAAATATTAGTTTGCAATTTTTGATTTTTTTGGCCAACTTTTGTGCAATTAATAATTTCTGCTATCTTCACTGCTAGGAGAGTCAATGGTCTTAATTAGTTTGATTGTATTTGCTAGTTTACTTGGTTAGTTGCTATATGTAAACTTGACATTTTACATTTTGTACATGAAACTTATACTTAGTTCAAGATAAATTAAAAACAATATATTCACGGACAAAAATAATATTTTGATTGAAGACTTAATATATGAATTTGCAATAATAGGCGTAAAACAAAGAAAAAGAAGAACATTTTTGAAATTTATAATTAGAAAAACAAATGATATTCCTCCATTTGTTTTGCCGCCTACATGCTAATTCAGAGTAAATACTATTATGCTATTGTCAGTACAACTTAAGCTCTATGGATAGTCGGCTGTAAAGTCTGTTACATAATTAGGCGACTTATTAGGTATAATTACAGGTAATCTCTTGATAAACATTAACAGATAATTTAAAAATAGTATACTCCGACTTATAATATGCTAGCGCACATTAAAAGAATCCTGACACTATCATAATATATAACTTAAATCGGTACAAAATACCTCCCCTATCTTCTAAGGCGTGTGATAGATCATAGTTTAGTTTGAGCTACACTAGGTATGCCTAACATATTAACGGTTGATGTTTAGCGAGGTTTTGATTATACAACTCTGTGAATTAGTAGAGTACCAATATTTATTTTTAAACTCACATTAAATATTATAAACGGAAAAGGGTTCAAAATGCCCCTAAGCTATTGGAAAAGGTTTAAAAATACTCTCCATCCACCTATTGGGCTAAAAATATCCCTCCATCCACCTTTTTGGTTCACTTATGTCCTTTGACAATATTAAGGAGAGTTTGTAGGGATATTGTGACGACCCAAAACCCACTAAGGGTTGTGATGGCGCCGGACACCACTGTCAGGCAAGCCAACACCATTTAACTAGAAATTTCTCGTTCCAAATATTTCTGAAATCACTTTTTTTATACACTTAAATAATAAATAATAAGTTCCGCTGAATGAATACTAATATCTTTAATAATTTCAAAATACTGAATAATCCCATAGACATCCCAGAACCCGGTGTCACAAGTGCATGAGCTATCAAATAGGACAGAAAGTAAATATGGAAATCTGAAAGAGACTCTGCCTGATGCGGGTCGTCTCGATAAATGCAGCTCACCTAAGTCTCCGTACCAACCATGCCGCTATGCCACTAAGCCGCTAGCCACCCATGAACCTGTGCAACAAAAATGCACAGCAAGTGTAGTATGAGTACGAAAACAACGTGTACTCATAAGTATCCCGCCTAAACTCGAAGAGTAGAGACGAGAGGTCGACTTCGACACTTACTAGTGGTCCAATAATGATACACAATTAATATAATAAAATCCAGGATTTTTATAGGGCAAGGTCGTAACTCAACAGAATGAAACAAGTAATCAATTTCTTTATTCACAGGGAAATTTCCAAATTTCGTTTTCATCAACTATACATTTATTCTCAAGTCAGGGAGTGACATTATCAACTTCAATGAATTTTAAGGCAAGCAATACAAGCATGCGCAACTCATGCCGAGGTCGTACAACCCTAAACCAATAATATTTAAACTGTGCACTGCTAGAGGGTCGAATGGCGCGAACAATAGATGCATCTATTACCCCGCTCGCGAATCATAAATGCGATGCGGTCAAATTTAAATAAATACTCCAAACAGTCAATCAAGAAACCATAGGGGAATAAATCATCCAATAAAAGGAAAACTCTCCTTTTTAAAAGTCAAGAAACCAATGTCTAATTTTTATAAATTCTTTTATACATTTCAATGTATTTTAAGCATTTCAATTTGACAACAAGATTTCAGATATTACAAGTAAAATATGCTTTTGGGTTCTAGACTACCGGACTTAAGCATAATAGTAGCTATGCACGGACTCTCGTCACCTCGTGCGTACGTAGCCCCCACAAATAGGAGCACATACCAATTCAACTTACCTATAGGGACAATTCCCTCTTACAAGGTTAGAAAGGAGACTCACCTCGCTCCGAAGTTCCATAACTGGCATTCCACGCCCTTCCGAAGACTTAAATTGATGCACAACGCTCCAAAACTAGCCAATAATTATGAAAATCCATTAATATATGTTCAATTACTCATAATAATCCAATTTATAACAATTCCTAACCCCCGATCGAAAAGTTGACAAAATTGCCCTCGGGCCCACGTGTCCGGATTCCGAATTTTTCGAAGAAAAAGTTTACCCATGACCTCACGAACTCAAATATATAATTTACTCTCAATTTCATGCCCAAAATCGTGGTCAAAAGCAAAGAATACGAATTTTCTAGGTTTTCCCTCAAACCCCAAGTTCCCACTAATTTCCATGCTCAAATCCATATACAATAATGTATTTAACTCAAAACTAACATAAACCACTTACCTCATGCTTGGTGGTGAAAATGGCACCTCAAAGTTGCTCCAAAATCGGCTCCAATAGAAGAAATAGGGTTGAAATGAACCCCACCCCCGATTTAAAAGAACTCTCTGCCTCCAGCATTTCCGCACCTGCGGTCACTTGACCGCTTCTACGATTCCACAGGTGCGGTTCCAATACCGCTTTTGCGGTCCTCCTCCTAGCCTTAGCTTCCGCATCTGCGCTTCTCCTTCCACAGGTGCGGTCACACATCTGCGACAAATCGACTGCATCTGCGGTCCCAGCCTGGCCGCCCCATTTACGCTTCTGCGACCCAAGGGCCGCTTCTGTGGCTCCGCACCTGCGGCCCAAGCCTCGCAGGTGCGGTTACACCAGAAGGCAGCTGATCACTTCTTCTTAAAATTCTAAAATTGATCCGTTAACCACCCGAATCCACCCAGGGCCCCCGGGACCCTGTCCGTTCACACTAACCAGTCCCAAAATACATTACGGACTTGCTCGAGGCCTCAAATCATATCGAACAACGCTAAAATCATGAATCGACCTCCAATCCAAGCTTAATGAACTTTAGAATTCAAAACTTCTACATTCGATGCCGAAACCTATCACATCACGTCCGGTTGACCTCAAATTTTTGCACACAAGTCATATTCGACATTACGGACCTACTCCAACTTCCAAAATCGGAATCTGACCCCGATATCAAAAAGTCCACTCCCGGTCAAACTTCTCAAAAACCTTCAAATTTCTATCTTTAGCCAAATGACTCCAAAATGACCCACGGACCTCCGAATTCATTGCCGATCGCGCTCCCAACACCAGAATCACCATACAGAGCTATTCCCAGACTCGGAATCCCAAACGGACATTGATACACTGAAATGCACTTCATCCCAAACTTATAAAATTCCCCCAAAAATGCTAACTCCCACAATAGGTGCCGAAACGCTCCCGGGTCTTCCGATACCCGATCCGGACATACGCCCAAGTCTGAAATCATCATACGAACCTGCTGGAACCTTCAAATCCCTATTCCGAGGTCGTTTACTCAAAAATCCAATCTTACTCAATTCTTTCAACTTAAAGCTTCCGAAATGAGAATTCTCTCTCCAAATCAACTCCGAACTTCCCGGAATTCAATTCCGACCAATCGTACAAGTCATAATACATGAAGTGAAGCTACTTAGGGCTTCAAACCGCTGAACGATGCATTAGAGCTCAAAACGACTGGTCGGGTCGTTACAGATATTGTCAAATAATTAAGAAGATTTTGTAGGAATATGGTCAAATAAGAAAAAATAGATTAAGAACTATATATGCAATCCCATTTACTAAATTAAATCTTTTATTATTCAATTCTATTTTGAATCTTATATGGCAATTTTAAATTCAATGTTATTATAGATCTTTAATTATTTCAATTACGTTTAGGCTCCTTCATTACAGTGAATATTATCAATTAAAAGGGGGGTCAAGATATATTTTGACTCTTATATGACAGAAGTTTGATTTACCTTGAATACAATATCTTGCAAGTATGTATCTTTTTTAAATTGGTATTTGATTAACCATATATATATCTATTAGAATTTATCCAACGTTAAATATAAATAATTTTATTTTTTAGATTAAATGATAACATTATGTTGATTGTGAGGAGGAATCACGATTAAAGAAATTATTTTTATCGGCAACAAACCAAGCGGCTATGTGATTTTATTTATTCAAATGAGTTAAACTTAAATCGATCATATATATAAATAAAGATAAGTAGAAACTTGACTACCACCACCACCACCACCACCACCACCACCACCAATAATAATAATAATAATAATAATAATAATAATAATAATAATAATAATAATAATAATAATAATAATAATAATAATAATAATAATAATCGCATATCTTCTGTCTATTTATTTGTTACACCAAATTAATTCAAATCATATCCAAGATTTTAAATTGAAAAATAAAATAAATTAAATTTTATCCAATCTTTTGAATAAGCAAAGAAAACTCCAAGGACGAAAAAAACTTTGAAGTTTTGGTGAAATATAAAGTATGAGCATATGCACTTCTATTTTTAATCTATTATTATATTAAACACCAAATAAAATGATTATATAAAAGTTTTATAGTAGGAAATATAATATAAAAAAGAAAAATAAAGAGAGTAAGTTTTATACTTTGAATTAAATTTAAAATAGAATGCTATATTAAATAAATAATACTAAAAATATTAGTGACAAATTTAGACAATAACCCGAGAAGTAGAATAAAAGAATAAAACCAAATAAAAAGTTTTTTATAAGAAAAAAACTAAATTCATCTATAATATATTATAATGGGAGTAGCGGACACGATATGGATAATTTTAAGTTATGGTAATGCTATAACATGGACAAACAATCAAAAAAAAAGAAGGAAAAAAGTTATGTAAATAAATAATTTCAATATTGAGATATATAGAAGAATAAGACTTATTTGATTTTTTAGAAGAGAAAGTTTCTCAAATTATAACGAGAGAATTCATACTGTATGGATAAGATACACGTATTCGAAAATATTATGATAGATAAAACTAAAATAGGAAATATAGACATTTGACATAAATTTCAAAAAATAAATAAAAATATAAAGATATATTATAAATGTTTATGTAGTTAATTTCAATAGAAACTAAAAGTCATTGGACATGCAGTTTGATTCTCTTGCTCAATTAACATTCAATTTTTAGAATCGAAATGTGTGGTGGATGTAGTGTGGATTCGAACAATTTTAAAGTTATTTTCAAAAAAAGAGAATGGTCAGGCAAGTAATTTGATTCGATCAATAATAAAGTAACTCTAATGATGTTGGAAGGAAGTTAAAATATTATGAATGTACATAAGAACAAGAGAAATTTATACCAAGCTACACATCAATGTATTTTCTGGGAATAATATTTTAAAGTATGAAGCTACTTAGACATCAGCTGAGTTAAATTCAATTGTGTTACTTTACTGTTGATTGTCAATAAATCATCATATATGTTTATATTAGTTTGTCTTTTCAACATCAAAACACTAAGGGGTCATTTGGTAGGAGGTATTAGAAAAAATAATGCAAGCATTAGCTTTGTGTATTACTAATCCTTTATTTGGTACTATATTTTTTTTAACATATGTATAACTAATACAAGTATTAATTATATATCCTATTTGATATTATCCTATGTATAAATAATGCATAGCAAACCATGATATTAACAAGGCAAGGATTTTATACTTGCATAAATATGGTTAAAGACATAATTGCCCCTCCAAATACTTTGCATATATATTTTGTATTATATTGTGATATTTTAATTATTTTTTTCTTGAGCATTCTACTATAATCAAAATAATATTATATTTAATACTACATTTGATTTTGAATTCATTCAAAGTATAAACTGAATTGTTTTTATTTGTTAAAAATCTACCCATTTTTGTAATAATTGGTATGTTGTATTATATGTCATAGCAATTAAATTTTCTTCTCTTTTAATTCCAATATTTCAGTTAGTTTTCTATTTTAATTTGGCTCTCATGTAAAAGAAGTTGGCTTTAGAGAGAGTAAAGAATGTGGAGGGTATTAAAATTGTTGTAATAAAAATAGTGTACAAAGTTAAAGAATGTGAAGGTATTTTTGTAAACAATTAATTTTTGTAAAAAAAATTTATGCAATGATTTAGTACACCAAACCAAACAATGAATAAAAAATAATGTAAGCATTACTAATACACCATATTCAGTACTATTCTTATACTTCCTATCAAACGAACCCTAAAGGTAATAAATTGTGTGACTTAGGTTGGTAGAAGTTGATGTTGTTGTGAGAGGCAATTATGTTGGGATAACAATGGAATATATATTTTTATAATTTAAATTAAGATATTAATAAATATTTTTTTAGTTATTACTCCATGTAATATTACTCCATAGATGTGAGGTTATAAAATTTGAGTTTCTACCAATAGTTATTCATTTATGTATATAAAAATTTATGGGATTACAATAGTATCCGCACATCGTGCGGGTACTAATACTAGTTATATATAAAGGTGCAGCCAAAGGCCTAAACCAACCGAGGATCAAACAAATTAAGGATGGAGCTAATTTCCGAAGAATTTATCAAACCTGTTTCTCCCACTCCCAATCACCTCAAATCTTATGAATATTCTATTCTTGATCAGTTTGCTCCATCAAATTACATCCCTATACTTCTATACTATCCTCCTCCTCCTCCATCACTTCACAAAGATAACCAAAAACCAAATAATACTATGATCAACTCATCAAGATTAAAAAACTTAAAGAAATCCCTGTCTGAAATTCTTGCTCATTATTACTTTTTGGCAGGAAGACTTCGAAACGACACTGCTTCTGTGGATTGCAACGATGAAGGTGTGCCATTTCTCGAAGCATTTGTGCAGAATCAACGCTTGGAAGACATTCTCAACGATCCTTGTATTGAAAACGAACTTAGGAAATCTTTGCTTCCACTCGACATGGAGTCATTTTCATCGACCCTTTTACTTTTTGTTCAAGTTACCTTCTTGGAATGTGGTGGAATGGTTGTTGGAATTTCAGCTACACACAAAGTTTTGGATACTTCTTCCTTTATTACCTTCTTAACTGACTGGGCATCTTTGGCACGTCAAGACGATCCCAATTTTGTACTATCTCCACTTAATCCCATTGCGAAACTCTTACCACCAAGTAATGCATTGCCACCCTCACCTAGCACTAAAGCCGCGCTTTCAAGAGAGGCTTGTGTTACGAACATTTATGTTTTTAACCCTTCTAGAATAGCACTTCTCAAGACGAAGGCAACTAGTGACAACATACCTAAACCTTCCCGTGTCGATGTAGTGACAAGTATCATGTGGAAGTGTTTGACTGCGCACTCCAAAAGGCGGTCTACCTTAGCCCATATGATAAACATGAGGAAACGAGTTGATCCTCCAATGCATGCTCATTATATTGGAAACTTTGTTGGGCTCGTTGAAGCATCTAAGGATGAGACTGAAAAAGATATAGCTAACATGGTGGCTTTGATAAGAAAAGGGTTAGTCAAGTTTGATAATGACCATGGGAAAAGATTGAAAGGGGATGAGGCCGTAGGAACTATCCTAGAGCACATAAGGGATAAATTAAGCTTGAATAGTAGAAAAGATTATGTGGATTTCTACCATTTCAGTAGCTGGTGTGGTTACTCATTTTATGATGTGGATTTTGGATGGGGGAAGCCAATTATGTTTAATACAATTGAAGGAAAATTCAAGAACATGATAATGTTAATAGATACAAAGGATAGAGGAGTGGAAGCTCGTGTTACTTTAAGTGAACAAGATATGAAAATGTTTGAGAAAAACACAGAGCTGCTAACTTATGCAACTCTCAAGGCTAGTTTCCCTATCAAAGAATGACGCAATATTAAACAAGTTGAGAATAAAGTTCTTGTTTTGTATTAGTAAGAGAAAATCTTCAATCGTTCTTAAGGGATAGCTCCTCCCAAATTGTTCTAGATAAGTTAAAGTTTGAGTGCTTTTAATTTCTTGAATGAAATGTGAAATTTTCTGATTTCCTTTTTAGAATTGCTTTTCGTTTAAGATTCATTTAAATCAATTTAGTCACACTGCCAAAGGACAGAGAAAATTAAAGTATGACAAGACTGTTCTCCGTCCTTGTCCTAAGAGATCAGTTGACCCTGATCAATATTCTAAAATGGCACCGGACAATATTTTCCCCTACAGCTTGTTTGGATGGATGTTACTTATTGTATCGATACTTTAAATAAAATATTTTTTTTGATTGTTACTTACATTTTATTGTATAGTATCGGTAAATCCGTCGTCACGTGATGACGAAAAGTATCACTTTATGGAACGACGGATTTGGTGTGGTGGCGTCGTTACCTTGCTTTTTCTCTCATCTTGCCCTTCCTTATTATTAAATAATCATATTTTATCTTTTACCCTACTCTTTTATATCCTATTTTTTTTAGTAATATTGTTTGTTTATTCTTCATATTGTTGGTGCGTGACATCATAAAATGACGACAAACGATACAATCTATCGAAACGTTTTATCCATCAAACAATACAATACAATACAATACATTATGAAACGATATGTCACAACAATCCAAACAAGCTGCCAGTATCAAACAAAACCTTTGGATTTAACCCAAACAAATATAGAGATGTTATCACCAGGTAACAACCCCAGGAAAATCTTGCATTCAAGTGACAAACAATTTCAGCACCTTTACCCTGAGGTTGTTTATCAGCAAAAAATTGTTACTGTTTGTAAGAACCTAGTTTCGAAACAACTAAACCAACAACAATCACATTAGTTCGTTTACCATGAAAATTCCATTAATTTCATAGTAAAATAGCCCTGCACAATGCAGAATTGCAATTACTATCTAGTTTCATTATACCCTACAAAGAATAAACCTAGCATTGACAACATTGAGAAAAAGTGTTGGCCCAAGTAAATGTGAAGTTTTGAAGACTGACAAAGGAACTCAGACATGGACCAGGTCCATCTTGTGAAGCACAGTTATAATCAACTCAAACATGTGAGATGCACGTGAAGGAGACAAACCTTACTTATCAGAAGTAATATCTCCTGATCAGGATCGAAAAGGTTGCATATTGGATAAGGAGAAAGACTCCTTACACAAAGAGAAACACGGCTTAAGAAATGGATAACGTTAGAGGATGAGACCAACTAGAACTCTTCCACCAAGGAAGAGTAGCATCTGTATTCTAGTCAATCTCTTTTTACTAACTCCATAAATATCAGTGTTGTTCTCTTTTACAGGTTGCACAAAAACGCATAAGTTAAACGTGAATTGAGAGCAAAATAGCAAGGCTTTTTGCAAGCAGTTCGTGTGTGATTCAAGTGTGCAAACCTGAAGCTACATGAACCAGATTGAAGAACCAGCTCCATAAAGAGTTTTATGTGTCCTTCTGTATTTCTAGTTCAATTGTAGTAGGTGTTTTATACTGTACCTTTCAGCTTTATCTAGAGGCAATTGTAATAGGTAATCAGAGTATTCAAGCTAGAGTTAACTTGAAGTTGTCACAATAGTTAGAGGCTGGTTGTCACAACGGGATTAGTGTTAATCCTAGGTTTACAAAAGAGTTTTTGTAAATGTAGTTTTTGGCTCAATGATTTTAGTGGAGAGTTTGGAAAAATCCTACTGGAAGGTAGGTCGTGGTTTTTTCACCTTTTGAGCTAGGTGTTTTCCACGTAAAAATCTCTGTGTTCTTTAATTTCTGTATTTATTATTTCGCAACAGTAGTAGTTGGAACACATAGAAGAACCAGGTCCTTCTATAATCAAGTTAAGCGAAAATTGGGTACCACACAAATCAACCCCTCCCCCCCTGTGTGGTATTGAAGTATAAAACATCAATTGGTATCAGAGCGGGTTATCCTTGAAGAGGTTAACACCTTAGGAATAGATCAAGATGATTGCACCACCTGAAACCTGGGAAGGACAATCCACTGCTAGGCCTCCACTCTTTAATGGCCAATACTATTTCTGGTGGAAGAACAAGATGATAGATTGCATCATAGGAGAAGACTATGAACTTTGGGACATTGTTACTGATGGTCCTCTGGCTACTATAAAGAAGAATGCTGAGGATGTGCCAAAGACTAGAGCTGATTGTACTGCTGAAGATTTGAAGAAGTGGGAAAAGAATGCTAAGGCCAAGAAATGACTTGTGTGTGGACTAGGCCCAGACGAGTACAACAGAATTCAAAGTTGTACTACTGCTAAGGAGATCTGGGACACTTTACAAGTGGCCCATGAAGGAACTCCTCAAGTTAAGAGATCAAGAGGAACACTGCTGTAGTCTCAATATGAGAATTTCACCATGAAGGAAGGAGAAACCATCCAAGAGATGTACACAAGGTTCACAACGCTAACAATTGAACTTAAGTCTCTTGGAAGAATTATCCTTGAAGAAGACAAGGTTGAGAAAATCCTGACAAGGGTCTTGCCAGTAACTTGGGAAAGCAAAATCACTGCTATTCAGGAATCAAAGAACATTGCTACTCTCAAGTTGGATGAGCTGATTGGAAATCTCACTGCCTATGAACTGAGAAGACAAACCATGAAGATGGATGCACCCAAGAAGGATAGAAGCCTGGCTCTCAGAATAGCTAAAGGTGCATACTTAGAGGATGATGAAATGGCTATGATCACAAGGGATTTCAAGAAGTACCTAATGAGAGGTAAGGGTTCTTCAAGAGGTGCAACCTTTAACAAACCAAGGGCTCCTAAAAAACAGACCAACGAGAGCTGCTACAAATATGGTAAGACTGACCACATGATCAAGAATTGTCCTCAGTGGGAAATTGAATGGAAGAAAGAAAGGGCTGAACGAAGAAACAGGAAGAAGGAACAGGTTCAACCCAAGAAGAACAAAGGATCAACAAAAGCATGGTTGCTGCTTGGGGAGAAAGCTCAGATGAGGATTCAGAAGATGAAGCTGGAGATGAACAAGCACTTATGGCCATTGGAGAATCAGATGATGAACAAGAGGTAAGTGTGATTCATCTAAAAGACAAGATTAAATTTATGTCTAAAGAAAAGCTATCTGAATTACTGCTAGAATTCATTGATGAGTCTGAGGTCATAAACAATGAGAAGAAACAGCTGTCTAGGGAATGTGTGATCCTAAAAGCTCAGTGCAAAAATCTAGAACTCAGGGCTAGTGAAAGTGATAGTAAAAATACTGAGTTGAAGAACCAGGTTCTTGAACTTGACACCACTGTCTTAGAACTTAGATCTAAAAATCTAAAACTAAAATTAGGGACAGGTAAAAAGAAAGCTGATCACATACACCTCACCTTAGAAGAAAATTTAGGAAAAATGAAGGATGAGTTATACAAAAAGGATGAGCAGATAAGAGTCCTAAAAGAAGATCTAGGAAAGGTTAAGCATGAACTAGACAGAACTTGCAAATGGAATAAGTCCTCTGATGCACTATCTTGGCTACAAGAACATCACAGTAGCAATAAGAGAGGACTTGGCTATGGGACCCCTGCACCTAAGTGGGATCCCAAAAGCAAGTATATCACACTTCCTGAGAACAAAATCTGCACACAATGTGGTAAGACTGGTCACTTTAAAAGTGAATGTAGTGCAAAAGAAAATGCCAGTCAAAAGAACGAAACCTTTGTTCAAGGGAAAAATAGGCTACCAGGATGGGCTAAAAAGAATTTAATTCACCCTTTTGCCTATAGAAAGGGACCCAAATTAGTTTGGGTTCCTAAGACTAACCCCTGATTTTCTTTTGCAGGTCAAAGTGAAGGGGAGCAGCCAAATATGGTACATGGATAGTGGCTGCTCAAAGCATATGACTGGTAGCAAGAACCAGTTCCTTTCACTTGAGGACCTCAAAGGAGGTAATGTCTCCTTTGGAAATGGTAAGAAAGGTGAAATCATTGGGGTTGGAAAAGTAGGTAAGACAGACTCATATTCCATTGAGAATGTCTACTTGATAGATGGCTTGAAATATAGCCTAATCAGTGTATCATAATTGTAGGACAGAGGTAACTTGGTAGCATTCACCTCTACCAAATGATTTGTGATAAACATTACCACTGAAAAGATTGTTTTGCAAGGAAAAAGAGTATACAATATATACATTGTAGATCTGTCCACTCTTTCAGAAAATGAACTCACTTGCTTAAGTGTGTTGGGACAATGATCCCCTCCTTTGGCACAAAAGACTTGGATATGAAAGTCTAAGTCAACCCAACAAACTAGTCTCCAAGGACCTGGTGATAGGGCTGCCTAACATCAAGTTTAAGGAAGACAAAGTTTGTGAGGCTTGTGCAAGGTGGAAGCAGGTAAGGTCCTCTTTTAAAAGCAAGAAAGTGGTAAGCACGACCAGGTCGATGGAACTGGTTCATATGGATCTCTGTGGACCAATGAGAACATTGAGCAGAGGTGGTAAGAAATATGTGATGGTACTTGTTGATGATTACTCTAGGTTTACTTGGACATTATTTTTAACATCTAAGGATGAAGCATTTGACATGTTTACTGCCTTTGTTAGAAAAACTCAGAAACAACTAGGTAATCAACTTGCATTAATTAGGTCTGATCATGGAACTGAATTTGAAAATTCTAAGTTTGAATTCTGTGATGAACATGGCATAGATCACAATTTTTCTGCCCCTAGGACTCCACAACAAAATGGAGTAGTTGAAAGAAAGAATATGACACTTGAAGATATGGCTAGGACTATGCTTCTTTCTAGTAAACTGCCTCATAGCTTCTGGGCAGAGGCTATAAATACTGCATATTACATCATTAATAGGTGCATGACTAGACCTCTTGTAGAGAAGACTCCCTATGGGTTACTTAAAGGGAGAAAACCAAATATATTCCATCTTAGGGCATTTGGATGCAAGTGCTTTGTGCACAATAATGGAAAGAACTCCCTAGGTAAGTTTGATCCCAGAAGTGATGAGGGAGTATTCTTGGGATATTCTTCAAATAGCAAAGCTTATAAAGTGTTCAACAAAAGAACTTTGTGTGTAGAAGAAAGTATAC